TTGCTGCCTGTTTTTATATTCTGAGCTAGTTTACTCTCATAATCTATCTTACTTTTCTTTATAACTTTCTGTTGGCCTTTAAGAATTTCCCAGTCTACTAGTTTCCCACTACTCTTTGCTTTTTTGTATGTGTTTTTTTTTCAATCTGATACTTTCCTTTATTTCCTTAGACATCCATGGCTGGCTCTCTCTTTTCCTACAGTTCTTCCTTATCACTGGAATATACTTCTGCTGAGCACTGTGAAAAATCGTTTTGAAAGTCCTCCACTGTTCCTCAATTGACCCACCATGAAGTTTTTGCTCCCATTCTACCTTCGCTAACTCCTCCCTCATTCCTTCATAGTCTCCTTTGTTGAAGCACAGGTCATAGGTACTGGATTTAGCCTTCTCACACTCCATCTGTATTTTAAATTCGACCATACTGTGATCGCTCCTTCCAAGAGGATCCCTAACTGTGAGATCATTAATTATTCCTGTCTCATTACACAGGACTAGATCTAGGATAGCTTGCTCCCTCATAGCCAGTTTTGTTGGTTCAAGCCAGTTTTGTATCCAATAGTCTGTAATTTCTTGTGGTCTTGGGCAGAGCAGTTGCTGTGCCATATGATACACCTAGATAGGATACTTTCTATGGTGCATCTATAAAAATTGGTAAGAGTCACAGAATCAATTTGGCTAAGACAGAGATCCTCTCTGGCCATTAATTTAAGAACCGATGAACTCTCAAGCCATTACATTGAACAGAAACAAACAAATTTCCTGTTGATTGCCATCTGTTGCCCTCTTTCAGTGATCTTGGACATCACTCAGAAGTACTGTGTAGCAAGAACACAGAATACACTCTGGCAGGGAATTTTAAAGTCCATCACAAAATATGGTTCAGTGACACCACTAATGAATGAGCTAATCTTATTCTTAAGGGCAGAGTTGTCAGATTGCACTCATAGCAGCTAATGAGAAAACCAAGAGGGAAAAGATTACTTAACTAGTCCTCACAAATCTACCTACTGCAAATGCATTTGTTCATGACTGTATTGACTGGCATGACCACGAGCCCTGGAGACGAGCCCTAGAGACAAGCCCTGTATTTACATGGACAATACCTTCCATTATGTTGTCTAGCATGACCACTATGCTATATGTGCAGATTTAGAACAAATCAACCAGCTCAAAGTTGAACATCCGTGAGGCGCTGTGGGATATCATCAGCAAAATTATATTCAACAACAATCTATATAACCTGATGGCTTGCTAACCAATCCCTCACACTATAATTACCACTGCATTTCAAACTAAAGAAATCTGTGCTCAAATGGCAGGGAAAACCACACAATGATTTGATGAACACTATCAACAAGATCAGTTTTATTTGCAGCTGTACTCTCAGCCATTAATTGTTTGCAAAGTTGTGAAAAGTAGAATCAGAAGTCACCAAAAGATCTACGCAGTGAAACTACAGTGGCTTGGTCATGGAAAAGTCTTGCAGCAATCTTCTCTTTTGCTCACTTCAGCATGTTTTTGATAAGAAAGGGAAGTTGGACAATCCCGGACAGAGAGTGAAGTATGGCAATGTAACTTGCATTTCTGACTGGTGTCACTGTCCACTTGAATGTACAGAACCTGAACCTGAAAGGGGAGGTTAATCTGTGATTTGGCAGGCTATGTCTAGGAGTTTGTCAAAATTCAAACTTTTTGTGGCACATATGAAGAATCAGGATTTCAGGCACTTTCCATAAATGTAGCAGTGCATGAAAGATGATAAACTTGACCATCAGCATCAGCGGTTGGGGAATCTGCTCAGTAAATTTAATGAGTGTTTCCCCAATTTTAAAAGTTGACAACTCATCTTTCACTTCATGCAAGATCCATCTAACTTTGACACCTATAATTCCTGACTATTTCAAGGGCTTATCAGTGTGCTCTCCCTGGATAAGTGTAGTTTTGACATGCATCTGCTTTTGATTCAAACTCAGAAGAATCATGACCTGAAAGATGGACCTGTCTGAATGCCAAAGAGTTGCCTTTCAAGGAAATCAATTAATGATTCTCCACTTAGGCTAAGTTGCTTTTGATATTCATGTCAATGTGACTCTGTGGATCCACTTTTTCTATGGCATTTTCATGAAATCAATGTATCAATCACAGACATGAACAGGATCTGGAGGTGGTGCTGAAATGACCAGTTTGCGAAAAGCTTTTGCTCAATTTCAGTACAAAAGAAAAAGATTGCAGTGCTGCACTGAACATTTAAATTTGCAATTATGAATACAGTATCTATTATGTTAATTTTGTCAGTATGTGTGACTGATGCTTTTTGCTGTTAAGTACTAGTTAGTAGTTTTACTGTGCATTATTCCTAAAATTGCAATCCTTTAGTGTATTTGTCTTGATATCTGACAGTTCAAAAGATTGTGCGCATGTTTTATTAATATTGGATATATACCTTATATGGCACAAGTTTGGTGAGCAGCAAAATCCTTTTAGACAACATAGATCTACAAGATAAACCAGAGTAACTTTCCAAGACAACTTTAAAATCATCTTCCAAATTTACCACTTAAAAAGACTAGGCCAATGGGTGTACAGGTACAACACCCCTTGGAAGTTTGCCTGCAAATCACACACCTTAATAACTTGGAATTATATTGGTGTTCCTTCACTGATACTGTGGTAAAAAATCCTGTAACTTCCACCCTCATGGTATTGTGGGTGTACCCAGTAGCAGTAGCTTTCCACCCCATTCTCAAGGGAATTAGAGATAGCTATTTCCAGCAAAACTCCCATCCCATGAATAAATAAATGTGTTTATGTATCAAAATATATAAAAATATATCCACAGTTCTAGTGCTTGAATACAAAGAAGTCATGTTGAATGAGGGTCAAAGCTCATGGTAGCCCTGACACATGAATAGCAAAAATGAGGTATCCCAGTGAGCTACCTATAAAGATTCATATGTTTTTAAAAAGTTACAGATGCTGGAAATCTGAAACTGACAGACAGGTTTGAAAATGAACAGCATGTCAATCAACATCTGTGGAGAAATGCTACGCACCTAAAATAGACTATTCATGTCTGGTTGTCTGACTCGTATATCCATGTTTTTGTGTGCTTGGATATTCTAATTACCGCTCTTGGGTTCATTTTCCATGTATGAGAAAACAATCTTAAAGAACCCAGCAGCCCTAGATTACAAATTATTATTGCAATACAGGTGTGAAGATTTTTGACCTAGAAGCTATAGAATAAGCAAGATTTGCAATTTCTTTAAAATGGCTGTGGAATCTGTAACTGTTATTAAAAACAACTGAGAAGCACTTTTACCAGTTTGCATCAATTATAAAAGAACCAACTGTTCCTTTCTTAGATTGTAAGTAATGCTGGTTGATTTGAACTGGTGACACCTGGCCGAGAAGCACTACAACCAGGGCAGAAGTTAAGATGTGGATGCGAAACCCCTTTTTAGTCAATGACATCCAACCACAAAAAGCAAAGAGCTAAATATCTTTGGGTGCAATCTGCATAAGGAACAATCAATGGACAGTCCCATACTCAAGACAGGATGAACTTTCTGACACAAAGCACATAACATTAACAATTCAATAATGCTTCATTTCTGCAATGGTGATAGAACATCATTTTCTGATGACTACAGGAACTTTGATAGTATGAATAAGGCACTATAGTTAGAACATATTGCTTTGGATAGGTTGGGACTTTTTCACTGGAGCACAGGAGGTTAAGAGGTGACCTTACAGAGGTGTATAAAATCATGTGGGGCACAAATAAGGTGAACAGCAAAGGTCCTTTCCCTGTTGAGCCGAGTTCAAAACTGGGGAGCATATTTTTAAGGTGTGAGGAGAAAGTTTTAAAAAGGACATGAGGGACAACTTTTTTTTTTTTTTTTTTTTTACACAGAGTGGTTCATATATGGAATGAATTGCCAGAGGAAGTGGTGGATGCAGGTACAGTTACAACATTTAAAAGACATTTGCATTAGTACATGAATAGGAAAGGTTTGGAAGGATAAGGGCCAAATGTTGGGACTAGTTTGGTTTTGAAACATGGTCAGCGTGGACTAGTTGGACTGAAGGGTCTGTTTTCATGCTGTATGACTCTTGGACTCTATAATCCAACGGGCTGCTGTTCTGAAGTGTATCAAATTTTAACCTGATAGTAATAAACTAAAGGAGATTGCTGCAGTTACTACTTCAATGCTTCATTTGGGCTTTGGCAAGCACCTTATGTCAGTATTTTTCAAAAACAGTTCGCTCATTATCCAGGCAAACAAAGGTGAACAAAGAAACACATTGTTGGCTGCAATAAACAAAGCACTAAATAAAAGAAATAAATAATTTTAATATATAAAATTATTGGCAACATCAAGGTTTCTATAATAATATCTATTAGCATAACTAAGCTGATTGCTTTTACTTACAAGCAGTTTTGATTTTATCAAAAGTTTCACAAACAAAACCGAAAATGAATTATTGCAAGTTTGGTTACTTCATATTTAGCACAAGTTATAGAACCATTCACTGTGACCTCAATCACTGTATGGAGTTAGCTTTATAATTCAATGAAATAATTTGCCACTGCAATTGTACTGGATGATCATTTTCCCAGTGCATTCCCCTTCTTAGTATGTGTGCGTTCTTCATCTAGCTAAAGTATAAGTGAAATGCTACTCCTTCAAGGGGCTCTAGTCAGTAGATGGGAGTGCCTTTGTCAGAATATTCAGCTTTTTAATCCCCGATCTGTCATCAGTCCAAACCAACCACTTAGAGCTTTATCAGGTTACAAATCCAAAGATTAGAATTTGTGACCATGGGTTAAGTTATTTGCTAAGGATAGGAAAACCAATCAAATAATTGCTTTGCTGGCAGGGGGTAAAAAATGTCACTTGGCTGGGGTGCAAGTATGTAAAGAGATATAATTGATCAGCTTTAAATAACAATAGATAACTATAGATTGTAAAGCAACAGTATTAGTATTTCAACAATCTAGCCAAAAATATCTTTAATTATTACTCAACTTCAAAATTTCACCAACAATTCTCTGGTAGCAAATGAGAAATCATTTATACATATATATACCATTCACAGTGAAAGTGTCCAAAGATTCATGGGACAATCATACTGTTTTGAGAAAAAAAACTCAAGAGTTGGCAAATGACAGCAATGCCTATGTTCTACAGGCACTGCATTTAGAGTCAGGGAAAAGCGGCTGTTCAATGCAGGGATCTCTGCATAGTAAACAAACATGCTTCATTAAACCATTTCATTCATTAAATCTTCAGATGAATGCTCAAGATTGAGATCACCCACATACAAACTGTTGGTTGTTTTGTTTTCCACACCCGTACAACATCAAGTTTTTCTTTTGCATCTCTCCCTTCCAAAATACTTCATTAATGCCGGGTTACTACTGCTCTTTCTTGGGCTGCTGGTGACGGAGTGCTGGGTTAGAGGAGTTGGCCTTCAAAGAAATTGTTTGCGTAATACTCTTCCGCTTCTGGACTGCCAGAATTGGCAGCACGAAGGCACACAGAATGTGAAAGTGAAAATACATTGACCTTAAAAACAAAGCAAAAGAGAGAATTTATTCATGCATCTTCTGCAACAAAGTCAAAAGGCTCAGCACAATAACATCATGCATGACAACAATCCTGAAATTTTATTGATTTACCATAGAATTCCAAGTAAGGTGAATTCTTTAAAGAAATACAAGGTCAATGCTACAATAGAATTTTCATGAATAACCGGAAATACTTAATTGCAACACATCACTTTTTTGCAAATGTACCAGGTGGGTAGGTGCTTGGGATTAAATGATGTTCACCTCAGCTACATGCAGTAGGTGGTGCTGCAATTAACACCGATTTGAAAGAGTGAAAAAAAAGAACCAGGATTTCTGCCTATAATCATGCATTATTGACTCTCTTCATCCTCACTGAAAAATGACCATAAAACCATGAGGATAAAGAAGCAAAAGTAGGTCACTTGACCCACTGCGTCTGTTCTACCATTCAATGAGATCATGTCAGTTCTGATTATCCTCTACTCCACTCTCCTGCTTCATCCCCGATTAGAAATCTGTCTCAGCCCAGAATATACTTAATGACTCAACCTCAACAATCCTCTGCAGAAAATAATTGTACAGATTCACTATCCTTGGAGAGAAAAATAATTCTCATCTCTGTCTAAAATACATTCTATTGAGATTATGACTTCTGGTCCTAGATGGGGACCATAAGGGGAAACAACTTTTTGCATCTACCCTGTCAAGCTCCCTAAGAATGGAGTTTAGAAGCATGAGAGGAAACAATGAGTACAGGCCCAACCTACTCAACCTCTCCTCATAAGACAATCTCTCCATACCCAGGATCAACCGAGTGAACTTCGTCTGGACTGCCTCCAATGCCAGTTTATTTTTTCTTAGATCAGGGGACCAAAATTGTTCATGATGTTCCATGTGTGGTCTGATTAGTACCTTGTACAGTTTTAATAAGATCTCCCCATTTTTATCCTCCATTCCCCTTGAAATAAAGGCCAACATTTAATCTGCCTTCTCAATTACCCGTTGAATTTAGATGCTCGTTTTTTTATGATTCATGCACGAGATCCTGTAAAGTTCTCTGTGCTGCAGCTTTCCGTCGTCTTTCTCCATTTAAATAATATTTATCTCTTGTATTCTTCCTGCCAACATACATAACCTCACATTTTCCCACATTACACTCCATCTATCAAGATTTTGCCCACTCATATAACCTATCTATACCCTGTTGTAGACTCCTTGTGGTATTCTCACTGCTTGTCTTCCTGTCTATTTTTGCATCATCTGTAAATCTAGCGATAGCACATTCACTTTCCTCATCCAAGTCATCAATATAGAATGTAAATAATTGTGACTCTAGCACTGATGCCTGTGGCCATCCTGAAAATGCCTGCCTTTATGCCTTCTCCTTGTTTGTATTAATTAGGTAATCCTTTATCCATGATAATACTGCGCCCAACCCCATGATCTCTGATCTTATTAAACAGCATTATGTGCGGTTCCTTTGGAAATCCAAGTGTATTACATTCACTGCCTCCTATTTATCTATCCTACTTGTTACCTCCTCAAAGAATTCTAATAAATTTGATTTATCGTTCATGAAGTGATGCTGACTATACTTGATTATGTTATGCATTTCTAAATGATCTGCTATTGCAGATGATAATAGACATTTCTGATTACCTGTTTTGTCTCCTTCCCTTTTTGAATAGAAGTGTTACATGGGCAGATTTCCATCCTTCGGGACTTTTCCAGAATCTAAGGATTGGTGGAAGATTACTACCAGTGCACGCACTATCTCTGGAACTACTTCTGTTAAAATCCTAGGATGCATCCCATCAGGTCCAGCGGACTTATCAACATTTAGCACTAGTTTCGCAAGTACTTTGTCTCTGGTAACAGTTTGTTGTGTTTACTCCCCCGCTCTTGATTATACAATGTTGTTGAAATGCTATTAGTGCATTCTAACATGAAGACTGATGCAGTTCACCTCCTCTGCCATTTTCTGGTTTCCCATCCTTATTTCCCCAGCCTCATTATCTAAGAAGACTATGTTCCCTGTGCCCTCTCTCTTCCTTCTTATATATTGAAAGAAGCTCTTATTTGCCCCCATAGTTTATTTTCTTTTTTGTTTGCTTTTGTCTTGGCTTTTAAAACTTTCCAACCCTCTGACTAACCATTAATCTTTGCCTTATTGTATTTTTTTCTTTCAAATTATTGCCACTCCTAACTTAACTGGTTAACTACATCAGTTTATCCCTTCCTAAGTCCTCCTCTTCACTGGGATATATTTTTGCTGCCATTGTTCCTCAATCATATTTACTGCTAAACTCCTTTCACAGTCCACTCCAGCTAACACTGCCCTCATTCCTATGTAATTACTTTTATTTAAGTTTAGCACAGTTGCTTCTGACCCAGTTTCTCATTCTCCAACTGAATGCCAAATTCTATTTTATGGTCACGGTACTACAGAACAGATATTTTTAGGTAGCTTATAGATTCCCACCAGTGTCTTTTTCCTCTTGTTATTTCTTACTACTAACCATATGTATCCTGCATCATTCAATCCAAGATTAATTCTTGCTATCATACTTGTTCCATCTCATTTGAACATCGATAACCCACCACTCTTCCCTTTCTACCCGTCCTTTTGAAAAGTTCTATACCCCTGAACAGTTTGTTCCCCGCTTTGATCCCCTGGTAACCACATCTCAATGACTATAAGATCATACCAATTAATTGCTATTTTTTAATACATTTAGCTTGTTCTGAATA